CTAGTGCGGCAGCAGACTCACTAGCACCTTGTGCGGCAGTAGACTCATTAGCACCTAGTGCGGCAGCAGACTCACTAGCGCCTAGTGCAGCAGCCTCGACTGAATCAGTGACACATCGCTGACAAACCAACTCACTAAGCACCTGCGGGGAGAAGGTCTCCTGCTGACTCTGCTGCCGCATCCGTGCAGTTCGTAGAAAACCAAAGCCTCCACCTCCTAGATGGGCTCGCTGAAGTACCCACTCGCGAAGCTGCTGAGGGGTGGGGTCGTCCGGGAGAGGCAATGACCGCCGCTGTCCACCCCTAGCCACTGCAACTGTCGTGATAGTGGCCATGACAGGCAGTGACGGTCAGTAGTAGGTCCAGCACCTCCGGCACCAGCAGCACCTCCAGCACTCCCAGTCGCACCTCTAGCACCCCCAGCACCAGCAGCACTCCCAGCACTCCCAGCAGCACCTCCACTAGCAGCAGCAGTAGCACGAGCAGCAGCAGCAGCAGCAGTAGTAGCAGCAGGGCGGCTCGGTGGGGCTGGTGATCAAGGTAGGGCGGCGCAGCTCGGGTTTGGCAGGGCGGCTCGGGCTGGGCGGCGCGGCTCAGCCGGGCAGGGCGCGCCACGGGCTGCAGGGCAGGGCGCGCGGTGGACAGGGCAGCAGGGCGCGACGCGTGGGGCAGCAGAGCGCGACGCGCTGGCTGCAGTAGGGCGCGACGCGCTGGCTGCAGCAGGGCGCGACGCGCGGGGCAGCAGAGCGCGACGCGCTGGCTGCAGTAGGGCGCGACGCGCTGGCTGCAGTAGGGCGCGACGCGCTGGCTGCAGCAGGGCGCGACGCGCGGGGCAGCAGAGCGCGACGCGCTGGCTGCAGTAGGGCGCGACGCGCTGGCTGCAGCAGGGCGTGACGCGCGGGGCAGCAGAGCGCGACGCACTGGCTGCAGTAGGGCGCGACGTGCTGGCTGCAGCAGGGCGCGATGCGTAGGGTAGCAGGGCGCGATGCGCATGGCAGCAGGGCGCGACGTGCGGGCTGCAACAGGGCGTGAGGCGCGGAGCAGCAGAGCGCGACGCGCGGGCTGCAGCAGGGCGCGACGTGCGGGGGGCAGGCAGTGCGAGTAGCTGCAGGGCAGCGCGACACTGTGCGAGCAGGGCCAGACAGCGCAAGGGCGCTTCGGGCAGGAACTAGCGGAACTGTCGGTGGGCCCAAAAATCTTAACAGGTTTCCTGCTCTGAATACCATGTCGGAATAACTGTGCAGGAATGAATGAACTATGAATGAGTTGGGTACAAGTACTAACCCTAAAGTGATGTACCCCTTGTAGGCTAACCCACTATAGCCTAGAGAGAACACAAACATTTAGTTTGACAATGAACTCTTGAAAGTACAGACCTGGTCCAATTATATCGACTCCATGGCTACTTTGCTTACTTCAAATTCAATATAGAGCATGTTAACGGATTACCAACTTCATTTGTCACCAATCTATGATGTTGCCTAGGCTTTAGTTTGTGTGATTGTGTGATTGGCACTCTTACTTTTAGCTCATGGAAACTCCACTCTTCGTAACGGAAGCTTTTTGATTGTCTTGAAGAGCTGTCTATCGGCAATTCTATCTCGATCCGCGATAACTGCCCTCCCACTCCTTCAGCAGAGCTCTTTTGCCCTCCTTGCTCTTCAGGAGTATTTGCTATCCATCCACACCTCGCGGTTCTTCTAGACCTTCCGGGCGCGCATACTCTTACCAAAATGGCGGCAGACGCTGCTGTCGAGAAAGTCGAAGGTAGGTTTTTCTCGTCCGGGTTAGGTCTAATCTCCCCGCGCTCGTGTCAGTGGCAAGAGCGCTCGCCGCCTTTTGACTACCTGCTTCTTCGGTCCGTGATTCGGAGAAGCGTATCGCGCCATCTCGCATCTCTCGTATATAACGCACCGTCCGAGATGCGCGCGCCGTCTTATCTTTGCGCGCTGCGACCTGGGTTCTAGGCGCGACGCGGTGCGCGTCGCTTTGAGTTACTTGAAAACTTAAGAAATAAAAAATGATGTCGCTGGAGCTTGCGCATATTGACTCCCTTACCCCGTTCTCTACCCGCATCGACGTAGCCTCCGTGTCTCCCGAATCCCACGGTGTGGGGGTTAGGGTTCCCTTGTCACGGGAGGACCCAGGGGACAGGCACAAATGTCGTTCCCGCTCCTTCCCCATCCCCTCGACAGATGCCCACCGCCCGTTTGCGATTTCTGTTGGTCGTTCTCCCATTCCCCGCCCCTCAGCTTTCCCCCTCATGACCTCCTCTTCTCCTCTTCTCCTTCTCTTCCTTTTCCACCACTCCTCCAATCACCCTTCCCCCCTGCCCTGCTCCACCTCCCCCTTCTCCCCGCCCCCTCTCCCCTTCTCCAATCTCCCCTCCACCCCCTACCCTCTCCCGCCCAACCCCTCTTCCCCCCGTCCCCCCCTCCCTCGCCCTTCCGCGCGGCAGAGGTGGTGGCGGAGCTGAAGGTGGAGGGGGACAAGGTGGAGGAAAAGGCGGAGGAGGAGGTGAAGGTGGAGGACGATGCGGAAGACGACGACGACGAAGACGATGACGACGACGACGAGGGCGCCGACGACGACGCCGCTGCTGGCAACCGCAAGGGCAAGCAGGTGCGCGCTGCTCCCTCGTGCTGGCTGAATGACTTTTGAGTCGACTCTAAGGACCTCGACTCTTATCCTCTCATCCCCATTTTCCTTTCCCATCCACTCTTGACTCTTCTGCCCTCTCTTTCACTCGTCCTCGAACCCCGGATCTTGAACCTCACATCTGGAATGTCGGTTTTTCTATCCTCGCTCGATTCATTGTCGTCCCCTTCTTGCTGTGCGCCCCCCCGCCCCCCCACCCCTCTCACAGAGCCGCAGTGAGAAGAAGGCGCGCAAGGCGGTGCAGAAGCTGGGGCTCAGGGCGCTCACAGGCGTGTCGCGCGTGACGATCAAGCAGAGCAAGAGCACGCTGTTCGCCATCTCGCGTCCGGACGTGTTTATGAGCCCCGCGTCCAACACGTACGTCATCTTTGGCGAGATCGAGGACCTCTCCGCCCACGTGCAGTCGCAGGCCGCTGAGCAGGTGCGTTCTTCTTCCCTTGCTTGCCTTGGTGGCCCTGGGTAGGGTTGCCAAGAGTGGCAGGCTTGGCGGGCTGGTAAACCGTTTTATTTCATGAGCGGTTCTGGCTTTATACGTATGCATTTCGAAGTCTCACTTCTGGTGTTCTCTTACCTTTCTTTCTTGCTGGAATGTATGCTCGTGCCCTTTTTTCATTGACCAACAACAACTCCTGCCATGCTACATTGTTTTCCTCTTTGCCATTGCAGTTCAAGATGCCCGACTTCGCGGCTGCTGATGTCAAGGCTGTGGAGACAGCGGCAGCGGCAGAGGAGGCGGAGGAGGATGTGGATGCCACAGGAGTGGAGGAGAAGGACATTGAGCTCGTCATGACCCAGGCGGGTGTTTCCCGTGGCAAGGCCATCTCTGCCCTCAAGTCCACCAGCGGTGATATCGTCGATGCCATTATGCGCCTCACCACGTAAAAGGCAGTGTTTGTGTGTGATTCTGAATTTGGTAGTAAGGAGCAGGTAGCCCAGCAAGCTGGTTCTACAAAAGAGCTCCTTAAGTGTAATCCGTATTGGGCTCTGTTTTGTGTTCATGAGTCATCATGGAGAAGCCTAATGAAGCTACACTCAGCGAAACGAAGGCTTCACAGCTGGCTAACCCCGAAAAGATCTAGAATGTCAAAGCTGGTTTGTTTGGTCGATAGACCATTTCGTCGCTTTCGCAAGGTTACTCTCGAAAAGTAACCCGAAAACCTTGCCTCGAGATTGTTTTTATCACCTAGGGAGGGACTGAATTGTCCCCGCCAAACAGCTGTGCGCTGGTGTACTGGTGGTGGTTGCCTCGCCTTGTGCTGGGAGCGTGTGGGGAAAACTGCATAGGGCGCGCGCCGTGAGAGAAATGCGCGCGCTGATAGAGTATGCACTTTCTCTGGCATGCTCCCCGTGGTATGGGATGGGGGGGAGAAATGCGAGCGCATTTTCCAGTTGGAGGGAAAAATAACCTCTACTGGTGCTGCAGAATAGTTTGAAGTCCGAAACCCAGGTTAGCTCTGCTATCTCAAAGGCCTGTTACCACTGACCACTAACTTGGATTGTACCCAGTCCAATCGGCTCAGCGCCCCCCGTTTAGTGTTTTCTGATCGGATCGGCTTTCGTGTGAGATGGGGAAGAAGAAGAGAAAGGATGCGAAGCCGTGGTGCTTCTACTGCGATCGCGAGTTCGACGACGAGAAGATTCTGATTCAGCATCAGAAGGCGAAGCATTTCAAGTGCCACGTGTGCCACAAGAAGCTTAGCACAGCTGGCGGTATGGTGGTGCACGTACTCCAAGTTCACAAGGAAAATCTTACCAAGTAAGCAACGACTTTTAAGCGTTTTTATTCTACTTTCAACTGTTTTCCTTCATGGACGCGAATACTATTTTTCAGTCATTTTTCTTCCTTCCGTAGAGTCTAATACACTAAGTCCGATCGTGTCATATTAAATGCCTCCAGAGTTCCTAATGCCCGTCCGGGGAGGGAGTCGGTGGAGATCGAGATTTTTGGGATGGAGGGAATCCCGCCGGAGGCTATTGCCGCGCACAACGCCGAGCAAGGTACTCATCGTGTGCTTGGGACGGATCTTCTTTAGCTTGTTGATTGCTGATCATTCCTCAGTTGACTACATGAAAATGATGTGTCTGTGTGATTATTTTTTCCTTTCGGAAGGATATATGCCGTTTAGGGCTTTCTAGAGTCACGCAATCCATTTCCAACCAATGCTCTTCCAGTAGTGTTTCTGTCGTCGCTTTCCGTCATCCGCTTATACTGATCCGTTTTACGCTGATTCGTTATGAGCAGAGGAGCGAGCTGCCAAGTTGCAGCGAACGGAGCAGGACGACGATGATGATGATGATGGAGGGCCGCCGCCCCAGCCGGCCTATGGCGCTGCTCCCGCCGGTATGGCCCCACAACCGCTCTACGCTGCACCCATGCAAGCGTGAGTATCCTGGTGCTTCTTAGTCCCTTCTCCTTTCCTCTCCCTGTCCCTCGACTTCCTTCGCTTCCCCTCCTCGTCCCCCCCCTTGCTCTCCCTTCCCCTCCCCTCCCTTCCCCTCTCCTCCCCTCCCCTCTCCTTCCCGCCCCTCCCCTCCCTCCTCTGCCCCTACGTCCACTTCTCTCCCCTCTCGCCTCTCGACGAGTGCCATACCTGTCGCTTCCTTGTCCTTCTCTCGTTGCTTCCTGGCTCGCTGACTTTCTCTTGCTGTCAGACCTGCAAAACTCAAATCAACTGCGGCCCTTCTTATTCAAACCGCACTCGCAATGGCCAGTGTCGCCGTCGGTTGGCACATCATCAGGCTTGATGCGTTCCGCCTACCCCTCCCCCGTTCTCCTCCCCCCCGTTTGTGTCCCTGTTGTCCCCTGTGCGCAGATACCCCAACCCCTACGCGCAACACATGCCGCCACCGCAGATGCTACCCCAGTGGGCGCCTCACGGTCCAGGATACCCTCCCATGCCCGCATGGCTTCCCCCTCCCGCGCACTCCCCTTCACCCGGATACTTCCATCCGGGTCACCCGCCCTCTTCCTTCCCCCCTCCTCCGCGCGGACCTCCTCAACCGCTCTTTCCGATCCAAGGCGGCGTCCGCCCCCCTCCGCCACACTCCATGAGCACTCCGCCCACGGCATATCCCCCCGCTCCTTCCGCCACCGCTCCCGCCGGCGCACCTGGCATGGCAGGCGTTGCGCCTCCGCCCGCGAGTCCCGTGTTCCCCATAGCTTCCGCCGGCCCGCCGCCGTCTTCCGCCGCATCAGCGCCTGCCGCGCCTCTGCCGGCCCATTCCCCTGCGGGTTCAGGACCGTCCGCGCAGCACTACCCCCCCGGCCCTGGCGCAGGGCCTTCCCCGTATCCCCCGCAAGGGGCCGTTTTCCCCATTCCGCGGCCAGGGTATCCTGGCCCACCGCCGGGCGCAGCGGCTCCGTCTCCCGCTGGGGCGCCTCCGCCACACGCGGGCGCCCCCAGACCAGGACAGCCTATGCCGGGGGGAAGCTACGGCGCTCCTGGTGAGTTGCGCAGTGGGAGGGGGGGGAGCTGGAATGAGAAGGGGAGGGAATCAGTGCTGGATTCTGGGGTGGGTGTGCGAGGTTGGATGGGGCGGGAGGGCTGTTTTGAATGGGTTCGAGGGGGAGAAGAAGGAGCATTGAGGAGAAGGGAAAGGTTGGGAGTGGTGTGAATGCTGTAGTTGTGATGGGCAAACAATGTACTTGTTGTGCCTTGTTCTGATTCTTATTAAGATGTATGGAAGTAGATAATTACGTTTTAATGCGTTGCACAGTTTTGTGTCGTCCCCCTCCCCCACCCCCCCCCCCCCCCTCCTCTCTCCCCGTGTTCTCAACAACTTCCCATAACCCCCCTTTCCAATCCTACTTTTTACTCGTGCCCAATTCTCTCTTTCTCTCCTCCTTCCCTTTACTTCTCTTCTGCATTGCTTCGCAACTGCTCCCCCCCTCCTCCCCTGTCTTACTGTCGCTCCTTTTCCTTCCCTCGTTGCTTCGTGGCCCCCTGACTTCTCACCGCCAGCTCTCCCTCCCTCCCTCCCTCCCTCCCTCCCTTCCTCCCTCCCTCCCTCCCTTCCTCCCTCCCTCCCTCCCTCCCTCCCTCCCTCCCTCCCTCCCTCCTTCCCTCCCTCCCTCCCTCCTTCCCTCCCTCCCTCCCTCCCTCCCTCCCTCCCTCCCTCCCTCCCTCCCTCCCTCCCTCCCTCCCTCCCTCCCTCCCTCCCTCCCTCCCTCCCTCCCTCCCTCCCTCCCTCCCTCCCTCTCCCACTCGCCCACCGCCCTGCTACAGCTTCGCTCCTGCCAACCCCTGTGCCTGCCGCCGCCAGTGCGCCTGTGGTTGCAACGCCACCGGGGGGACTGCCGCCCATGGCAGCAGGAGCACCACCAGCAGCAGCAGCAGCACCAGCAGGAGGAGTGGCAGCGGGAGGAGCGGCCCAAGCGGTGCCTGCAGCGGCTGCACCGGCTGCAGCCACAACGGTGACGGAGGTGTATCTCGTGTGGGACGACGACCAGATGTCCATGGTACGCCTTGCCTCCTGCCTCCCAGCCCCAACACAACACCCCTATACGGTTTCCGAAGCACCCACTGTTCCCTCCCCACCTGGACTCTCAGAGCCCCGCCACCCCTCATCTCTTCTGTCGTCCTCCTGACCCTTGGTCTCGTCCCGCCTTTCCACAGTCCTCTTCTGTACTGAATCTTTGCAAGTCCTTGAGTTACCACTCTGGCCCTTCGCTCACTACTCCATGCCCCTCAGACATGCCATGACATGAGCATTCTTTGTGATTCAGCAAAACATTCTGCCCTCAGTGCTGCACTCCCTGGTCCATGTGCACTCTCTCCCCCTTAACCTGCTGCCTGCTGCCTGGTGTGTGGGTTGATTGTGCAGGAGGAGCGGCGGGCCAGCCTGCCTCGCTACCATGTGCGTGCGTGACCCTGACCAGGACCAGGCAGACCAGCTCCAATCCTTCTGCACTGTGCTGCACCACTCTGCACTGCACTCTGCTGCTTGCGGTCACTGGCACAACCGGTATGCCATGCCATGCCACCCTGCGCTGTGGCACAGCCTGTGAGAGACCACTTGTTGGTTCGCTCGTGCTTTTGCTGACTAGGGCAATGGGGGAAAGGGAGGTAGCGGATTTGCGGAGTGCAGGGGTGGTGTTGCAGCGTTGGGATGTTAGGGCTGCTGTAGGGTTGGATCACTTGGCTTGTCTCATGCAGGCTCATCCTGGCTCTTCAAGCATTATGGATAAGAGGGGGGAACGACTCAGCGTCAGGCCTTGGGCTTTCTCAGGTGCCCCCCTTGTTCTTTTCTTTTCCAGTCATGTCTCTTGAGTTCCAGTCTGTTGGATGTGTGTGCGAGATAGCTTGCTGAGATTGTGACAAACAGACTAATCAGGAAGTATTTTGTAGGTTGTTTGAGTTTCTTGGCACACCTTTGTCATAATCAGCTATTCGGGTGATTCCAATGACTACTGAGGTTAGTACCAAGTGTGGTAGTTGACCTTTTTTGTGTCCTGTCTCTTCACTGTAAGCTCACCAGAAGGAAACATATCACATGCTGCCTACAGGTACCATCATGGCAAATCGATTTGTAGCATCTAGAGTTATGTGCCTTTTCACGCTCTGGGCTTAGGTCCTTGGTGTTTGCAATTGCATGTCATCCCTGGCCTGAAAATGTGAGGTTCATACACGCATTTTGCGCATGGTAACTGTTTTTTGGATGCTGCTGAATATTTAGTTTTTTATGAAGGTGTCCTACCATTGTAATGAGGCAAATCTGCTGTACAAGTTTATAGGTACCAACTGATTGAAGCAGGCGGTGGAATCAGGTGAAGAGCGGTGCGGAACATTCCATAAACTCGCAGGACTCAAGGCGACTGTCGCGAAACAATAGCATTTCGCTTGCGCGATGTCGAGGCATGTATGTTCCAACAGTCATGGCGCTTCACCATGTCATGACTATCGTTTTTTGCCAATAAAAACCCCACGAATGCTGAGTCCACAAAGTTGCGACCAATCAACCCCTACCTTGACGATTGATCACAAAACTGGGAAACAGGGTGTGTTCGTGTTTCGACACAGCCACTTCGTGACAACCGGGTAACCAAACAACAATCACGTGAGGCGATCGATCATCAACTGTTATCGCCTCTAAGTTGATTCCTTCCTTCCCCATCCTTCCATGACCACTGGTTTGCCGTGTAACGTTGGAATGGAACATAGTCAACCCAAGAGTGGCGAGTCGCGACGGCTCAAAAAACCTGCCATTGCGCCTCGCCGTGGTCGTCGCGCCTCGATTGTCTTCTCCGGCTCATCGCGTCGTCGTAGTTCCTTCGCGCCTCTGCGACAGTGCGCTTGCAGTTACTCCTCTCCTCGTCCCCCTCACCTTGTGCACCCCGTCCTAATCACCCACGCGATCACGCCTCGCCGTTGCCGCAAGCCCTACGACCTGACCGCACCCAACCTCTTCCGAACCAACCTGACCGAACCGACCTCATCCGAGGCTAGTACGGTCCGGCACTCGCCCCGCTGCGTCGCGGCGCTCTAACATCATGTCGTCGCACGCTCCCCGTTCCGAGTCCCGCGTCGCTCTTCTCCTCCGCCATTTGGTCCCCGCGGAAGGCGCCAACCAGCCGCGCAGAATCGACGACATCCGCGCAAGCAGCACTTGCGCGGACGGGGCGAGCACCGCGACTGCCCGCGCCTGCGCGATTCCCTGCCCGCGCGGGTGCGGGGTTTCCGCCGTTCCTTGCTCCGCGCGCGCGGGTTTGGGCGCGCCCGTGGTGGTGGGGGCGATGGTGCTGGACGTGCAGGGGAGGGCGGGCGCGGAGCGGGCGCTGGAACGAGGCACCACTACGCCTGGACAGGTACACGTGCCCCGCGCGCTCTGCCCTACGCCCCGCGCGCTGTCGCCCCCATTGTCGTTCGGTTCCTCCCTTCCCCCACCAGTTGAGGAAGAGGAGGGAGGAAAAGGGAGGAGTGTTGTTCGTCGCCAAATTAACGCCTCGTTTGCGTCCCGCGCCTCCCCCTCTGGCCCCTCTCCTTCCCTCCCCCTCTGGCCCCTCTCCTTCCCTCCCCCTCTGGCCCCTCTCCTTCCCTCCCCCTCTGGCCCCTCTCCTTCCCTCCCCCTCTGCCCGGCCTCCTGGCCTCCCCTCTGTCCCCCCACACTGCCCTCCCCCTAATCTCCCTACCTGCCCTCCGCCCTTCCCTCTCCCCTCCTGCCTTCCCCCCTCACGGCGCGCGCAGGTGGAGTTCCGCCCAGGGGGAGTGGCGCGCAACATAGGGGAGTGCATGGCGGCGCTCACAGCCCCACCCCTCCTCATCTCCGCCGTGGGGGACGACGCTGCAGGCAGGTCGCAATGCTGCTCGCATCCCACCCACGCCCTTCCTCTCCTACTGCCCTCCATCCCCACCACTCTCATTCCATTGCATCCATAGCACGCTCCTCTACCTACCACTCTGCTTCTTAGCCCATTCACCCCCAATAGAATTCACTGCTTCCTCTCCACATTGTCTCTGATACCTTCCTAACAACTTTCGTATCTCCACTCTCCACTCTCCCCTCTCCCCTCTCCCCTCTCCCCTCTCCACTCTCCCCTCTCCCCTCTCCCCTCTCCCCTCTCCCCTCTCCCCTCTCCCCTCTCCCCTCTCCCCTCTCCCCTCTCCCCTCTCCCCTCTCCCCTCTCCCCTCTCCCCTCTCCCCTCTCCCCTCTCCCCTCTCCCCTCTCCCCTCTCCCCTCTCCCCTCTCCCCTCTCCCCTCTCCCCTCTCCCCTCTCCCCTCTCCCCTCTCCCCTCTCCCCTCTCCCCTCTCCCCTCTCCCCTCTCCCCTCTCCCCTCTCCCCTCTCCCCTCTCCCCTCTCCCCTCTCCCCTCTCCCCTCTCCCCTCTCCCCTTTGTTAGTGTTAGCCCTCAATCTCACATTTTGTACTTGCTCTAGGATATCCTAGTGTAGTTTGCACTTTGTGTTTGGTTGGGTGTACACCCACATCCCAACCAAACCCAAATGTGATCTCCAAGCAATCTCCAACCCACCAATTGGAGATTGCCTTGGGATTACCCCCAATCCCCTAGGATTGCCCCCGATTCTCTCCGCATCCTTACCTTGCCCATTTTCGATGTACTTAAAGAGCCTTGAGCTCATTACTAATGTATCCATTCTAAAGCTCAAGTTCTAACACCCTCTCCCCTCTCCCCTCTCCCCTCTCCCCTCTCCCCTCTCCCCTCTCCCCTCTCCCCTCTCCCCTCTCCCCTCTCCCCTCTCCCCTCTCCCGTCTCCCGTCTCCCGTCTCCCCTCCCCTCTCCCCTCTCCTCTCTCCCCTCTCCCCTCCCACCCTTTCTGGGCACTCCATACCATAACTGCCACATCAGCTGACGTGCTTCTCTCTCATTGGTCAGCGAGAGGTCTGTCCACCCACGGTAAGCACATTAAGGGGTTGAGCATGCCACGCCACGCCATGCCATGCCATGCCATGCCATGCCATACCATACTATACCACACCGCAACATATCACATTATACCGCTTGTTCTGCCCAGCCCCTTCCCCTCCCCACCCCCCCCATCGCCGCCATCTCCCTTTCGCCCCTCGCTTCACCCTCTCCCATCGCTCTTTACATCATCCCTCGTGCTCGTTTCCCCCCCACCACCTCCTTGACTCTTCCCCTCCACACTCTCCTTCCCCACTCCCGCTCCCGATTCTCTCCCTGTCCCTGCCTCATGCTGTGCGCCCATGTGTCACCTGTGCCCCCCTATGCCCCACTACTCCCCCCCATGCCCTCCCGTGCCCCCCTGTGTGCGTGTGGGCAGGCATAGTGCGGGCAGCAGGGCAGCGCACGGCGGTGGTGGCGAGTGTGTTTGATGGGGGGGGCGAGGTGGCTGCTGGGGTCGCTGACGTTGCTGTCCTGGTGCGCTGGGGTGAAGTGGGGTGCTGTGTGTGCTGTGAACATTGCTTTTGAGAGTTCTCAAAAGCAACACCAACATGGGAAGGGAGGTGGCTGCTGGAGTCGCTGATTGTGCTGTCCTGGTGCGCTGCCTGGGGTGGCGTGGGGTGCTGTGTCCCCACAGGCATGCATGCATGGGTGCACGTGATTCGGTCCTACCATCATCATGCCCGCCCAACTTCCACCCCATCCCATACCCTCCTCCATGATCCATCCATCTCACCCTCACCCCATGCCGGCTTCGAATTCACCACACTCACAGCAACACCTGTCCCACACTCACAGCAACACCTGTCCCACACTCACAGCAACACCTGTCCCACACTCACAGCAACACCTGTCCCACACTCACAGCAACACCTGTCCCACACTCACAGCAACACCTGTCCCACACTCACAGCAACACCTGTCCCACACTCACAGCAACACCTGTCCCACACTCACAGCAACACCTGTCCCACACTCACAGCAACACCTGTCCCACACTCACAGCAACACCTGTCCCACACTCACAGCAACACCTGTCCCACACTCACAGCAACACCTGTCCCACACTCACAGCAACACCTGTCCCACGCAGCACACCTACCCAAGTGCACCTCACCATCCGCCATCCACCATTTGCGCCTTTCTCCCGCAATGCCTCCCTGCGCCCGCCCTCTTTTCCTCGCACCCGCCATCTACACTGGGGTCAGCCCAGAGTTCAGTTTCTTTCTAGGACTAGCAAGCACGGTGTCCGTTTCTATCTACAGCGTCACGGATACCTCCGAGTCGACCTCACGCCCCTAACGCACACACCGCAGCGCAGTTGTTGGTTAGGGAATTGATTTGAATTGAATTGAATCGAATTAAATCGAATTGCGTGAGTCATCAACTCAAATCCTTCCTCCTCCATTCATCCATCCCTATTCACGACCCTTGTCCCCTCCCCTCCCCTCCACATCCCTCTCCCCTGCCCCCCAACCCCCGCCCTACCCCCTCGCCACGCGCCCATGGCCGGCCACCAGGAGCAAGGGGTGCAGGAGGAGTGGGTAACGCGCTTCACACACGCCATTCACTCAGCGCCCTGCCTTGTTGTCGACACCAACCTCCCACCATCGCTGCTCTCACATACCTGTCAATGTGCGCGCTGCCCCTCCCCCACCCCCTGTCAACCGCGCTTGCCACGCTTGACTCGAGCTGCTGCTGCACACCAGCGCAATGCCACCACTCCCTCTCCCAGCCCCTTTTGCACTCTCCCTCCCACTCCCCTGCGCAGTCCCACTCCCTCTCCCCTTCCCTCTCCCCTTCCATCTCCCCTTCCCTCTCCCCTTCCATCTCCCCTTCCCTCTCCCCTTCCCTCTCCCCTTCCATCTCCCCTTCCCTCTCCCCTTCCATCTCCCCTTCCCTCTCCCCTTCCATCTCCCCTTCCCTCTCCCCTTCCATCTCCCCTTCCCTCTCCCCTTCCATCTCCCCTTCCCTCTCCCCTTCCATCTCCCCTTCCCTCTCCCCTTCCCTCTCCCCTTCCCTCTCCCCTTCCCTCTCCCCTTCCATCTCCCCTTCCCTCTCCCCTTCCATCTCCCCTTCCCTCTCCCCTTCCATCTCCCCTTCCCTCTCCCCTTCCATCTCCCCTTCCCTCTCCCCTTCCATCTCCCCTTCCCTCTCCCCTTCCATCTCCCTTCCCTCTCCTCTCCCCTTCCCTCTCCCCTTCCCTCTCCCCTTCCCTCTCCCCTTCCCTCTCCCCTTCCCTCTCCCCTTCCCTCTCCCCTTCCCTCTCCCCTTCCCTCTCCCCTTCCCTCTCCCCTTCCCTCTCCCCTTCCCTCTCCCCTTCCATCTCCCCTTCCCTCTCCCCTTCCATCTCCCCTTCCCTCTCCCCTTCCATCTCCCCTTCCCTCTCCCCTTCCATCTCCCCTTCCCTCTCCCCTTCCATCTCCCCTTCCCTCTCCCCTTCCCTCTCCCCTTCCCTCTCCCCTTCCCTCTCCCCTTCCCTCTCCCCTTCCATCTCCCCTTCCCTCTCCCCTTCCATCTCCCCTTCCCTCTCCCCTTCCATCTCCCCTTCCCTCTCCCCTTCCATCTCCCCTTCCCTCTCCCCTTCCATCTCCCCTTCCCTCTCCCCTTCCCTCTCCCCTTCCATCTCCCCTTCCCTCTCCCCTTCCCTCTCCCCTTCCCTCTCCCCTTCCCTCTCCCCTTCCATCTCCCCTTCCCTCTCCCCTTCCATCTCCCCTTCCCTCTCCCCTTCCATCTCCCCTTCCCTCTCCCCTTCCCTCTCCCCTTCCCTCTCCCCTTCCATCTCCCCTTCCCTCTCCCCTTCCCTCTCCCCTTCCATCTCCCCTTCCCTCTCCCCTTCCCTCTCCCCTTCCCTCTCCCCTTCCCTCTCCCCTTCCATCTCCCCTTCCCTCTCCCCTTCCACCACCCCCCTCTGATTCTCTCACACACATTGACTGAGATTTTATTGTCCTTACCCTCTTCATGCCACTGATGGTCGTAATGTGTTGCATCGGATGTGATACACACACACACAACCACACACACACACACACACACACCCACACCCACACCCACACCCACACCCACACCCACACACACACCCACACACACACCCACACACACCCACACACACACACAGACACACACACACCCACACACACAACCACACAGACTACCACACACTCACACACACACAACCACACACAACCACACACACAACCACACACACACCACACACACACGCACGCACACACAACCACACACACACAACCACACACACAACCACACACACATACACACACACACAACCACACACACACACACACACACACAACCACACACACAACCACACACACACCCACACCCACACACACCCACACACACACACAGACACACACACACCCACACACACAACCACACAGACTACCACACACACACACACACACACAACCACACACACTCACACACACACAACCACACACAACCACACACACAACCACACACACACCACACACACACGCACGCACACACAACCACACACACACAACCACACACACACACACACACACACACAACCACACACACAACCACACACACACACACACCACCACCACCACGCAACCATAGCCTTGCATGCTGCTGCCCTCCGTGCCCGCCTGCACATATCCCCTCCGCTGCTCTTCCTTCTCACTCCACAGTTTGCCTCCCGTCCGCACTGCTGTGCCCCCATGCGCAACCCATTGCCCCCATGGCCCCACTGCATGCTCAATGCAGATCCACGTACTCGCGCCCAACCACGCTGAACTGCATGTTATTGCTCAACACTTGCCTTCCACGCCCTCCACGCCCACCAACCCCACCTCCACCTCCTCGTCGTCTGCCTCTCCCATCTCCATACGGCATCACTACCACCGTGAGCACATGGCTGGGGAAAGGAAAGCACTAGAGGCAGCAGCAGTGGATGGTCTTGGATCACAGGGAGCATCGGCAGCAGCAACAGGAGGGGCGGAAAGAGAAGCAGGCATGACAGCAGCACCTGCATTCGCTGCTGGTACTACCTGTACGTGTACCTGCAAGTCACAGTGTGAGCCTCTCGCTTGCCCTGACTCAAGCCGCCCTACAATCAGCCACTCTCCGCATGTTCCTCCTCCTCCGCACCTTCCCCTCCCCCCCCTTCTGAGCACCACCACCACATCAGCGCTGCTATCCGTGCTGCAGGCAGGAGTAAAAAACGTGCTTCTGACGAGGGGCAAGCACGGAGCATGCCTGGCATCGCTACAGTCACATTCTGTTCCCGCGACCCCCGAATCCCACGCGAGTCTTTGCCTGCATTATTTTCCGGCGCTGCCCGTTCGCGTGCCCGAATGGCAGCTGAACCTAAGTGGGGCGGGAGACTGCCTGCTGGGAGCAACTGTTGCTGCGACTGTCTTGATGGCTCATGGGCAACGCACAGCACCAGCAGCTGCAGCAGCAGCAACACCACCTTGTCAGGCCCAGGTGAATTTTCAAGTGGAGTTACAGGAGAGGTTGGTGGCAGCAGTAGCAGTGGGCATGGCAGCAGCACGGGTGGCAGTGGAGAGCCGGGAGAACGTGCCGTGGGGGGAGCTGCAGAGGGACGTGCTGCCACTGCTACCCACACAAGGCTGATGGAGATGGCGAGAGGAGAATGCCGATAGTGCTGCTGCTGTACCTGCTGCTGCTGTGGTTCCACCTGAGTTGGATACAAAACAACTCGCTGCTGCTGGTGCTGCGGGTGATGATGAAGATGATGGTGGGATGGGACTGCTGCAGATTTGCAGGGACTAGTGGGAGCGGTTCACTGAAATTGCTGCTAGCCAATTCTCAAGCAGGTGTTTGTGCATGCTGGAAGCAGTGGGTTGTGCTGCTGATGCCTGTGTACTACACTACACCAGCTTCCATAAGACAACCCATCAAGGTACTGTCATGTTTTCCTCTGCTTCCTGTAGGGAGATGTACGGCAGTTGCCTCTGTTAGCAAATGTACTTGAAGCAAATAATTTTTACCAATTGTGAAGCTCCTGTGAGTGTACCAGGAACAGGACATTGGATGGAGTTGCTCCTCAGCATACATTATACACTATATATCGAGGTATGGTACTGTAGGTAAATTTAGCAAGTAAACAGTAGTACCAAACACTCATGAATAAATAAGGTCCCACAGGTATTACACTCCAAGTTACGTGCCCTTGCAAATGACAATTGCAAGTGTGCCATGCACTGCCCACATCACAGCATCATCCTACAGCGAAGTACAGTCAACGTCTGCAGAGCAATGCAATGCAAGCATGGTGGTGAGCATCCAGCAGAGTGGCACCGCACCGCACCATGCGGCTTCTCCCACAATTGACCATGCAAGCAGCAACAGCTCACACGAGTTTACAACACACATCTTCTCTCCCGCCCGCCACGCTTTGCTGCTACGCTATGGTATTCTCTAGCACCCTACAGCCACCACCCTTCCTTTCCAAGGACTCTCAACAGATACAGTATGTAGTTTCTCTGTGGCCGTTCCCGCTCGCATCTTTGCATCCACATGCAACACTACCTATCCAAGTGACTGCGGCTTATTAGCTAGCAGGCCATGCAGCTGCAGCAGTTGTCATGCTCTTTGCAGCTGATCCGCACAACCCTTAATGTGCGCTACTGTACTGCCTTTCTACGATTTTTTCTCCCTCTTTCTTGCCATTCTTCTCCTCGTCCTCCTCTTCCTCTAGCGCTCTCCGCCCCACATACCCCTCCCACCTCCTTCTCCTGCTCCTCCTGTGCCTCTTGCACTACCCCCTTCTCACTCTTCTCCCCCTGCGCCCCCTGCGCCCCGTGTGCGCCCGGCTCCGCCAGTGCATGTCTGTCCAGCGCCTGCCTCAGCGCCTCCACCTCGCCGCGCATGAGCGCCAGCTGCTGGCGCAGGGCGGGGGGCATGGCGGAGGGGGCCGCGCTGCCCTGCGCCCACGCCAGGTCCGCCTCCATGCGCATCAGCTCCGCGCGCAGCTGCAGCTCCGCGGGGGACGTCACGTGCTGGGGGGAAGGCGCGGACGGGGCGGAAGGGGATGCAGCAGCAGCGGCGACAGAGGCAGCACTGGCTTCTACTTTCTGAAGCCGGGGGTATGAAGGCTCCCCTGGGGTTACCTCCTTCTCGCTCTCCCCGCCACTCGCGCTGTCGCTCATGCTGCTCCCGCTCCGCCCGCTCCCATGGCTGCTGCTCCCCTCCCCTCCGCCGGCGTAGAACGGCGCGTCCAGCGTGCTCCCCGCGCTGCTCACATGCGCCAGCGCTTCCCCCTCGTCCGCGCTCCCGCTCTGCGCAGCGTTCCCCGGGACTACGCCGCCATTGCAGTTCTCTTGCCACCCTTCCGCGCACCCTCCGCCGCACCCTCCGCCGCACGCTCCCCCGCACCGTTCCGCGTAATATTCCGCCAGCCCCCGGTGCGCCATGAGCAACCCCATGTTCATACTCACGCTCCTCGGTCCGCTATTCCAAGCCGCCTGCTCCGCCTCCGCGCTTCCCCTTCCGCGCGCCCTCCACTCCGCTTCCGCCACAGAGGCGGGCGACGCGAGCGCATCCCACTCGCGCGACCCCATGTTGCGCCACGGGCTGCCGTGATTGGCCGAGACGCTGCGCTGGGGAGGCGGCGGAGCGGAATACGCGGGGGATGATAGCGCGGGGGACGCGCGCATGGTGTACGACCGGTGCGCAACGTCTCTCTGCGCGTCCGCCTCGTTTCCGAACCACCGCGGCTGCTGCAGACTCACGTCCCCGTAGCCGCCCGCCATCGCTGCTTCCCCAGCCGCCGCGGCTCCGCCAGCCGCAACCTCCGCCGCTAGGAGCGCCGCCGACTCCGCAGCATGCGGCACGGGCAACCAGCCACTGCAGCTGCCCTCGCCGGGCGGGAACGCCGTGCGGTCGCCTCCCGCAGCGGCAGCCATTGCGGCGGGCGCGGGCGCGTCGTCGTAGGAGTCAAACAGCGCCTCGACTGGCGCGTCCAGGAGGAACGCTGCGAGGCCCGCGGGGACTCCGCGCGGGGCGGCGGAGTCCTCCGCCGCGCCTGCTGCAGCGGGTGCCTCTACAGTTTCGTTAATCGCGCAACCGAACCCTTTCGTGGGGTTATACACCTCTCCCGAGGCGCCTTCTTCCCACGATAGTACACGGCACGAGTCGCACTGGCAAACAAGAGAGCCGTTGGAGCCGCCCGACGGCAGCGGCTGCGCGGAAAAGGAGTTGTCGGAGTGCGACGCGACCCACATCTCCGCGAATTCCGGCGGGACGCCGATCTCGGGGATCTCGAAGAGCTCCTCCGTCGTCGCCGTCAGCATGCGCGCAGCCAGCCCGCCGTGGCCCATGATAGAGTCGCTTCCCGGACCCGCGACCATCGCCGTGGAAACTTCGGCTGCCGAACCGAACCGTGGAGGTTCGGATCCATCCCAGCCCGGTCGATGGCTATCAGCAGGCGAGAGCGTATGGGTCCACGAAGACGATGATTTCGCTCGCATCGGCGACTTCGGGGGTAGATTGCATCCCGGCTCGTCGAAGGGCGAGGCGACGCGGTGCATGTGGCCACTGTGCGAGTGGCCATGGGAACGGTCGGAGTGATTATGACGAGAGGTGCTTGGCGCAGCAGCGCTGGGGGTTGCAAAGCGCGGGTGGGGGTGGTGGTGCGAATCCGACTCGCTCTTGCGGCGCGACGAAGAGGATGAATAAGGCCGGGAGTTCAAGGGGGAGGACGCGGAGTGGTGTGCGGTGGAGGAAGAATGGCCCTTGGCGGAATGGGAGGAGTAGGAGTAGGAAGTAGAGGAGGAGGAGGAGGAGGAGGCGGGGGATCGGGGGTTGCTGCTGAAAGCCGCGAGAAGCTTCGCGGAGGCGGAGGAGGCTCTGTCTAGGTCGAGACGAAGCCGCGTCATTGCGGACAGCGAGGATGGCTCTGACGAGGACGAGGGCGGCGGGTGGTGGCGTAGCAATGGAGAATGACTGAGTAGTTAATTCTGGGCCGAGGCGTGTCGTGTTATACTAACAGCACTCGCCAGAAGAGGGAGTGGTGTGTCGTTGCTCAGTGTTAGAAAGAAAGCAAGGTTGTTCATCAATGATAGTTTGGTTAGGATGTGCATTCCAGTTTCTTCTTAGGAATTTCTCCTCTCTACAACAATGCTGGTGAGTCGTCGATTTACTGGGATCCGATCCGGAGTGCTGCTTATGTGGAGAGTGGACACTAAGGAAGTAAGGAAGCAGGATGAGCCATGATGATTGGCTGTTGCTGCTCGAGTCGCCTCTGGGTGGGCTTGACTGTGGCTCAACCCACTGCCTTGGCTGTTGTTTTCCGTCGGCTAAATGCTGCAGCGTGTCCTGGACTTCCCGATTCAGCGCTGTACTGCGCGATCCAATCCTCGCTCAGGCAATCCCGAAATCTTCCCAGTGCTGGGAGGGATTGGCGTACAGAGAGGTTCACTCCCCCCTCCAATAGTGGTCAGCAATGTCTTGTGGCGTTTCCGCTTCCCCTACCCCATCCCTCCAAACAAAGTTCCAGCGACATCCATTCGACATTGATCGGGAATTGGGTTGGGATGTCCACCGCGGAAAAATATGACTGACCTCGTGGACTACTTTCCCGTCTCATCTCGTCTTGTCTAGCTCGATCCACTCATCTCATCGTCTCTTGTCTCATTGTCGTCTCGCCATACTTGTACGCTTCGTGCTCACATGACAGGCAGATTGGAAGAAGAGATTGGAAAATAACCAGTGAGGCGGCTTCCAATTGTGCTTGGAGATTCACGTCCTGGTCGGTGCGTTGGCGAACGCGAAGCAGCAATCCGCGCCGCGGAAGGACAAAGATGCAAGGCAGAGGCTCATCTTGTCCTTGGTGCCTTGAATGTGCTGATTTGATTGCTCGCTGGAGAACTTGTCTGAAGTATAGCAGCCAACCTGCTGCGAGCGGACCCACTGCGTTGGGTTGGGGGCAGCTTCACCCTTACTGCGCTGGACTGGGTAGGGCGCATTGTCGTTGTACATATTTCGTTCTGCCCGATGTTGTACCCAGATCCTCACCACGCTATGGAATACATGCAGAAAGCAATGCACAGAAACCAGGTACCTGTGGCAGCCGAAGTATTGTGCCTTCTCAGAAGCGGATTTTGCCTGAAGTATGTTGCATCCAGAAAAAAAAAAAATGACGAGGAATCTGGTGTAAAGTTGATTTACAACGTTTGAGGGGTTCATTTGTTCTGCCGGCGGGCAGCTGATGGACCATCGCGTTCAACCAGCAGTGTGACCGTGTCATCAGCTTCCCTTTCCAGCGATAATTCTCATTGACCGCTGTCCGGCTATACCATTTCCCTGACCTTTTTCCATTCGGGCTCAGGAGCAAGCAAACTTGTCCATTTTGACCAATCGGCAAGCATACGACTGCGGATGTCTGTACAGTACACGTGTACAGTTCACATCCACCAAAAAAAAAAAAGCGCACACGAGATACTTTGGATCGTCCATCCTCTTTGTTGTGATGCCCAAGAATATATTTTGACCACACGGGAAACAAGCAGGTCTTCCAGAAATAAAGGGTGAAAATACGAATCATCACAATATCGGGTCGCTATAATATTTGGCCAGTCATCAAGAACCTTAAATGAAAAGGCATAATTTATCTTATGGACTGTCACTGCCATCACAATTCGTCTCCAGAAGAAACGCTCTAATAAGGAAAACCCCTTTTCCTTTGTGGGATTTACTGTGTCAGAATAACAGTGCAGGAATAGATGAACTACGAATGAGTTGGGTACAGTGCTTCGTTTTGGATTTGGCCTACTCACGATTGGCAGTGTAGCTTTTTCAAAAACCCTTATGGGCAGTGTGCACTTTTCCGTTACACTGATAGAGCAGTGTAACATCAGGTTTTGATAAAATTACCCTGCATCATTAGTGTGGTTTTTTTTCGAACACTGACAGATGTTCGCAAAGTCTTGTGGTTAGACCTAGTGAAGGCAGCGATACTGCAGTTGCTGCCAATGTTCGGTTTCGTAGCATGTGTCAGAGGCCCACTGGTGATCCCCGATTGATCCTAGGGAAGGGTTACAGGCTCGTTGTCCTGGGGGTTATGGGCGCACTGACCCGCTACTTAACAAGCCCTTTTATCCCAATGGTCTAGTGGTTGGGATTCTGACATGGTATCAGAGCGAAGGTCTCGAGTTCGAATCCCAGTGTGTGCACTTCGGGCATCCCAGTGCGGGGGGGTGTCAGAGGTCCACTGGTGATCCCCGATTGATCCTAGGGAAGGGTTACAGGCTCGTTGTCCTGGGGGTTATGGGCGCACTGACCCGCTACTTAACAAGCCCTTTTATCCCAATGGTCTAGTCTAGTGGTTGGGATTCTGACAGCGTGCTGGCAAGGGAATAATTCCTAACAGACCAATCGGACACGCGACTGCGGCCAACGCACGTACTGCACGGAAGGAATCCTCGGCACTTGCGTGATGAACGGAAATCACGATCTGGCACATTTCGGAAGGGGGGGGGGGGGGGGGGGGGGGGGTACGCTCTTCAGTGTAATCTTCGCTAAGGGAAAATTTACCCCAAGGCATCATTGTGGCCTACGTCGATACACTTACAGATCAGTGTAACACTAACTCACCAAAAATTTACCCCAGCACATCAGTGTAGACCCAAAATTTCACCCTTGTAATCAGTATAGAAGGGTAAATTACACTGATAAGCTGAGCCCTGGTTGGGTACAAGTAATAACCCATTGTACCCCTTGTAGGCTAACCCATTATAGCCTAGAGAGAACACAAACATATAGTTTGACATACTGCTTCGCGTACAACCCCCATTTTCGGAAGTGCACGTTCGGCGGGTCTCCTTGCTACCGAAACAACCTTGCGTCGCCTTCGGCTTTCCTTCACCCAACCTGCTATCAGAATAATCTGTGCAAGAATGTAAATGACTAGCAACATGGAGATACAAGTACGGAACCCTAACTAAGGTTGTACTATATACTGAGCACCTCACTGTAGCCTAGCAGAACTAAGAACATACAAATATGTTTTGACACACCCCCCTAGGCAAAGTGAGGGATATTCAAGAAAACAAATGGTCACAAGACCAATGAGGCAAGAGAACAAAGCAATGCACAGCCCAGGGTGGATCTCAAGATCACCACGCAGTCTAAGCACAAGCAAGCGGCCACAACGCCAGTTTACATGCAGAGTTATAAGAGCAAGGCAGTACACTGATCACAACCTAGCAAGAGGAAACATGCATGTATAAATATGAATATCAGTGTACAACAAGTGCAAGATCAAGAGACAAGCAGGTGAGGAAGAACGGGCAGAAGCATAAGAACAATGCAAAGACGCTGATGATCACCAGACCCGAAGGCCTTGGTGAAGACATCAGCAGTGTTGGCCCGAGAGGCCACATAGGAAAGGCGAAGCTGACCACGCTGTTGCAGCTCTCGAGCAAGAAAGTAGCAAAGAGCAATGCGCTTCGTTCTGTGCTCCAGTCTCTACCCGTGACGCAAGACAAGCATGACCTTGTTGTCGACGTACAGAACTAGAGGAGAACGAGGCCGCTCCCCCAAGTCGGTCAGCAGGTAGGTCAGCCAGCGTAGCTACTGTGCAGCCATAGCCCCATCGTAGATCTCGGCCTTACAGCTGGAACCAAGCACAGAAGAAGAACGAGTGGATCTCCACGAGATAGAACCAGAGCCAAGACTGAAGGTGTAACCTGTCAGAATGTTATATTGCTTACTTTGTGTAGGCTATGGTGGGGTAGCCCATAAGGGCTAGTACTTGTACCCAACTTCTGCTCAATGCATTCATTCTCGTTTATTCTTTTGCCTTAACCCTGTGACGAACGCTGAGTCGCCTGGTCGTCGGCCCAAGAAGCGTCCGAGTGTCCTGTGAGTACCACTGAACCCTGTCCTCCAAGCACGAGCCCCATGCCCGATGTACTGCACAAGTAACGCAGTACCCTCTTCGCAGCATCTCAGTGCACCTTGCGGTGTCTACCGGGAGCCACGTAGCGATCCAGGAGGCTGAGAGGGTACGCGAGGTCAGGTCATGTGCACGTCATCAGGTACATGAGGCAACCCACAAGCTCTGGATACGGACCACTCGGCTCTACGGACTCGTCCGAAGGTGGAGCTGAGAGCGAGTGGCTGGTAGACAGAGGAGTGGGCTCTGGCGAGGAGTACTGGAAGTCGAAGCGCTGAAGGACCTAGTGCACCACGTGTGACTGAGTCAGGGTGATGGTGCGCCGTGCTCTGTCCCGGGTGATCTGCAAGCCAAGATAGCTAGTCAGCTCACCCAGGTCAATGCAGGTGTGTCTCTCCTGCAGCTCCGCCTTCACTAAGGCCAGCGCCTCCGTGTCAGCAGTAGCAAAAACCAAGTAGTCAACGTACACGAGAACGTAGAACGGCGGCCGGGAAGTGTCGGTGCGTAGAACCAGCGATGGGTCAGCAGAGGAAGGATCAAACCCAAGAGCCGCAAGTGTCGTCCTCAGTGTGTCGTGCCACTCAAGGGACGACTGCGAACCAGCGGGGATAACGGGAAGAGAGCCGAGCGGGGTGACTCTTCGCAGTAGCTGAGACTGGTCTGTCGGTGGACACCGAAGAGGTGGAGTGAGGCCAGTGGAAGACGGGAGACTAAGAACCTGGCGAAGGGGTGAGTCAGGCGGTGGAAGGGACGACTGCGGCTGCGAGGAGAAAAATGGTCGGCGTGGCATAGTACCCGTACCGTTTGCAGCTCCAGTACCTCCAGTACCTCCAACTCTAGCGCCTCCAGTACTAGCAGCACCTCTAGCACCTCCAGCACCAGCAACACCAGCACCTCCAGTGCCAGCAGCTCCAGTAGCACCTCCAGCACCAGCAGCACCACCAACTCCAGCACCTCTAGTACGAGCACCTCCAGGACCAG